TGTTGGTTTCTTTACGGTCAGATTTGGGCGCCTGGGTAACTACGGCAAAGCTGCTGTAAGATGCTGAAGGACGAAAAACATTATATTAGCAACAACAAAATATTTTCAAATCGTTCTGATCATCGCGAGTCTCATTTCAACATACAGTAAACTACTGTTGTAACGAACGTAGAGCGACCACTAAATTTAGTTCGTTATAACCGAAGTTCGTTATGCGCATATAAACAACATATATACAGTGTATATAAAATAAAATGGACGGGACCAAAAACAGTTCGTAATATCCGTCAGTTCGTTATAAGCGTGTTTGTTATAAACGTAGTTTACAGTATGTTAATTTCCTTTATCATAGCAGTAAATATATTTTCATTTTGTCTTGTAACCAATCCGAATTTTATATCAATGTCAAGTTTGCACGTTATTGAGGAAAGGGTTCTCTTTCCGGTATGATAAAAATCACAATTAAACCGAGACGAGAAATTAATAAATTCGAAACCAGAGGCTATGAACAATGTTACAGTCATATCACGACTTGACAAATTAATGTGGGAACACGGGACGGGTAGGTTGCTGACCAACCCAGAAACGTTACCAGAACACGCAAGCAAAGGTTTCTGGCTCGCAGCATCACAATGCGTATTGCGGCGCCCCAAACGACTGGGTCATCCGTACCCCCAGTGCCACTGGGCGCTACAGGAACATACAGGTTCCCCACAGCGTGTCGTACACTCTACATACCCCAGTATTTAATGACAAATCCCTTGTACGTGACGCTGTAGTCACTGTTGAAGTATAACTTGAGGTCAGGTCCTGTGGACGAGAAGGATATGTCCGGAGCTGACAAGTCACCACATAATCGATCAACGAGAGAACTTGTGTTAGCTGCAAAACAAACATACAATGTCACTCGGATCCACTCGGGGCCTCTTGGGTTATTTCGCTATTTACAAAGTATTGCATGAAACTCCCATTTACAGATGTTGTGTAACTTCACAGTATAGTACGTATGGATGGGACGATGTTTATGATGCGTGATATAACTGTTTACTTAACATAGAGAGGGCGATGTTTATGATGCGTAACTTCACTGTATAGTTAACATAGAGAGGACGATGTTTATGATTCGTAATATAACTGTATACTTAGCATAGAAAGGACGTTGTATATGTTGCGTAATATAACTGTATACTTAGCATAGAGAGGACGATGTTTATGATGCGTAATTAGAATAGAGGGGACGATGTTTATGATGCATAATATAACTGTATACTTAACATAGAGAGGACGATGTTTATGATGCGTAATTAGCATCGAGGGGACGATGTTTATGATGCGTAATATAACTGTATACTTAACATTGAGAGGACGCTGTTTATGATGCGTAATTAGCATAGAGAGGACGATGTTTATGATGCATAATATAACTGTATACTTAACATAGAGAGGACGATGTTTATGATGCGTAATTAGCATCGAGGGGACGATGTTTATGATGCGTAATATAACTGTATACTTAACATTGAGAGGACGATGATTATGATGCGTTATTAGCATAGAGAGGACGATGTTTATGATGCGTAATATAACTGTATACTTAGCATAGAGAGGACGATGTTTATAATGCGTAATATAACTGTATACTTAGCATAGAGAGGACGATGTTAATGATGCGTAATATAACTGTATACCTAGCATAGAGAGGACGATGTTTATGATGCGTAATATAACTGTATACTTAGCATAGAGAGGACGATGTTTATGATGCGTAATATAACTATATACTTAACATAGAAAGGACAATGTGTATGATGCGTAATATAACTGCATAGTTCGTATAGATGAGGAGATGTTTATGTTGCGTAATATAACTGCATAGTTAACTTAGAGAGGACGTTGTTAAAAAGAACTTAATAATGATGCTAATACATTTCGTTTTTATATGTAAGAAACTAGCAAAGGATAAACTTTCAAACAGGTTCAGGACCAACGGAAGAGTGTGTTGTTGCATATGATAGCAACGTGAACGAAGGTTTCAGTGTGGAATCATTCCATTGCTGGCCAAAATAACTTATTGGATTGACCTCAGGTGAACATGAAGTGACGTTTAATTTGACTGAATATAGCCCCTATAGACTTTATAGCACGCTTAATGAAATGAGAATATATTTAAATAAATTAAGTTTAAATTATGCAACATTTTTATGTTCTTTACTTAGTAATGTTTGTTTGTTGTTAAACGATATCCAGCGATATGACTGAGGCCTTCAGATAATCGAATCTGGACCGGAAATTGTTTTAGCAACGAGCCACGTCGTCGGGGTACGATACCACGCAATCAACCAAGGCATATAGCAGTTTGAAAGAGAAATAATAGGTCAGGTTTGTCTTTCCCGTTGACCCAGCGGACATCTATCTCCATATACAATAGTAAAGATCTTCACATCATATATAATTGATTATCGATTATCAGTTATCAAATCAATTATATGCTCCTAGTTACGATTTCCCTTGTGAATAGTTATTCGTTTTCATACGAGTGAATACATGAACTTGTGATTCTTAACACAGAACACAGAAGCGGACGCTCACCGTCAATGACGTCGAGGTAGTCATACGCACAGGAGCTGTGGTCTTCCATCTGGAAGTATTCCACGTTAATGTTGACCACCCAGGCCAGGTGCCCCTGGAGCCGCCTGACCCGAGGTGGTCAGCAGCCACGTCTCCGTGCTGTCGCTGTAACAGTGGGGACATTGCATTGTGAACTGTGGTCTATAATAGTACACGCATCAAGAACAGTGGTCTACAATAGTTCTCCTTATATCAGGTAACAGTCCTGTGTGTGAAAATATGTACTAGACATAAGATTTATAGACTAATAAAATCAACTGTAAGACCGCATGGACCATAAAACCGAATTAAATATGTCTTGGCCCAATCAAAGGCCCTTTTTAAAGTAGTAATGTAATGATATAATACAAAGTGTGTTTCACATGATGGGCGAAATATTTTAATAACGCCAAAAATTAGTTGAATTAAGTTAAAATGAGTTGAATCATGTGTCATGCTTATAATCCCTTAATGTACTTGCGAAACTAAAACTGTTGAGCAAAGGAAAATATGCTCGCCCATGGGCCAAGCCAAAATTTTGTATCATGATACGTAAAGGAATGCATTAAAATATATTTGCGAAACAAACACCTAAGTTTTGTGTAATGGAAAATATTCTCGCCCATGGGCCAAACCTTTTTCTCACCCATGGGCGAACTATTTCAGTATCGCTATAAAATCGTTGAAATCGTGAAAATGAGTTAGATTTTGTGTCATGATACTTGATGGAATACAAGTTAAGTATTTGCGAACCAAAAACATGAGTTTTAAGTAAAGGAAAATATTCTCGCCCATGGGCCAATCTTCGGCCATGGGCACGCCTTTTCTTCCTTAGTATGTTCCCATGAAAACAGCATGCTTATTTTAGTAAATACCTTTGACCGAGACTGGGAAAAGACCGTAGAGTTTCTGGACTTTTGGGTTTCCAGAATTAAAATGGGACATGTTACCGTCATGTTGTCTGATTGTAGATCAAATGTGTGATTTGAACAATCACCGTGTATGACCACGTGGACAATGGCCAAGGGAGCATGTTATGTATTGGTGCTTGGGGATACCAATGGTAACAGTTTATTATAAGAGGAAATTGGTAGTGAATCTCAATATCATGTATTTTGGAAATCTTTAGGGGTTATAATCCTTTCATTCTCTGATGTGATGTGTTTATAATATTCATATTTTTATAGTTTGGTATAATATAATAATAAATAAAACCCATGATATTGATTTTATGGTGTTTGTTATTATATATCATTTTGGGGGGGGTTTAAAGTGGGGTATGTCCTTGAGGGGAACTGGCACCTTGGTTATAGCTTCAGCTTCGAATACAAAATCATTTTATTTACATTTTTGCCAGAGCGATGGTGTAAAAACTGCTGGTTTACCATGTAGGTAGCAGAAGTATCGTAAGTCCCCATGGTACCTAGTATGTGACCTACCTTTGGTTTTTGGTGATCAATAGCCCATTTTTACCTTGTACTGTTATGAATTGTTAAAATTTTATGATGATATGCTAGTTTTAAATCTACATCTGTGATAGTCTAGAGGTTTTACTGTCCTTTGTCGACAGATTTTAATGTCTATAGTTATGTATTATTAATGTACAACTTGATTTAGTCACGATATGGCTGAAATATTGGCGATGTGACAAAAATCTTAACTCACTCACTATTTACATTTTTATTAGATATAAGTGATTGGGAACTTATGCGTTTTAAGCATTATTCCAGCCATGGTGTTTACCCATTTAAAGCACCCGTGTGGTGAATCGAACCCGGGTCTCTCACACGCACGCTCGGGGGCAACATTTATAGCTCAGTCATTTGTTTAAAGTACCGCAATACACTGTGCAGAATTCCCTCCCTTAGGCGTGTTCGAAATCTAAACCTAAACGATTCATGGGGAGATTATGAAATCTATTCGCCACCGAAGAGCATCCTAAAAACTAGTTATATTTCATGAAAAATTGTTTGGTACCGTAAGTTCGTTTCCTTATGTCGTGTGCGTCCCATTATACGTGCAATGGTGATGATGAGTTGGGGATTTTACGTGCGCTTTCCAAGTTATGCGTGTGTCGCACACGGAATACATACACGTGTAAACGTTTCCTGTTGTGTGTGTGGTTTGGGAGGAGGTCACAACTGATGGTGTTCTCGCCCTGACTGAGAAACTGCGTCTAGAATCTGTAATTATAATTAATTTTATAATCAATAAATTAATAATATGATAACAAATAATATTGCCTTTCCTTATATATATATATATATATATATATATATATATATATATATGTATATGTGTGTGTGTGTGTGTGTGTGAAATACACACAGGAACTTGCATCACATTCCGCACCCAGTCAAGCTTGTTGCCTCTCAGGAGTCGCCTCCCTTGCATGCACATTGTCATTGAGCTCTGACGAGAAGAGAGGGTAGACGTATCGCCGGCTCGTCAAGAATGGAGAGTTTTCTTGAGACGTTCAGAAACCTCGACACATCACAGAAAATTCTGTATGTTTTTGGAGGTGCTGCAGTAACCGCCGTGTCGCTCGTCGCCATAAGGAAACTCACGCTAAAGTATGTTCTCGTCCCTCACAGATACCTAATGCAGTTGATACACTCGCAGTCAACCGGTGAAGAGATAAATTTGATACCCATGACAATTGACTGGGTATTGATGAGGTTTTAACCATTCGTGGAGACGAATGGCGTGGCTGTCCGTTAAAGAGTGCTGAAAATATAATACTCTGTAATTTAAGTTATCATTGTGTCTTTTTCTCTTTGGGAAACCTCAACTATGTCGCAAACGGAAGATTTCCCGCAAGTAAAATTGATTTTGTGATGTATCTTCAGGAAATGACGGGATTGGGTGAATAGGGGTGGTTATTTGCAGTAATGATGTTGTTTCGCTGTATAGAGAGGAGAAGCGTAAGGACTACCCCCGAGATACAGTGATCCTTCATCAGATCGGCAGAGGTCCCTATGCCCCAAGCATGACGCCATTTGCTGTGAAGCTTGAGACCTACCTCCGGATGGCCAGGATACCCTACCAGGTAGGCGAACCCACGTTGGGTGCGATTGACATAACACTCGTAGTTATACAGTAACTCATGCAATGTTCTCAACTAATGATAATCGTCATTGTGACCTGGCTGATTGCGTGTATCCTTGTGGTTGGGTCGTTGCTCATACTATCGGTCAGTAAAGAACATTGAAGAGAAACCATATTTCGGATTTCTCTTTTGGAAATCTTGAGATAATCACCTTGTCGAATGAATCGGATTCACGTTCAAGATTATTGCACTTCTATAATATGTACATATATAATATGTATGTGTCTGTATGACTAATGCTGGCTGTATAGTGCTAGCCCTCCGGGATTCCTTGTCACAGTTTAACATGGATACCACACTCATACACAGTCTAATGACTTCGAGCCGATCAGTCCTTGTTTTAGCCCCTTAATGTCGAACAACAGGTGCCATCTTTTAACTTCTTTTGGAGGGACGTGCACAACGACCTTCCGCTCTCCCGATTGAATGGCGAAACATACTCATTACTTAGAGTATCCTGTATCATGTTCTGTAATTCACACATATAATAATTAGTCCCCGTTTGGCGGGCACGGGTGGCCCAGTCGTCTAAGGCGCCGCGATTCGCTGTGCAGAGTTGCGTCCCTTGGGCACGCCAGAAACCTATGATTGTGGGTTCGAATCCCGGTTCGCCCCGATTATGTTTCTAGGTTTGTCAGCACCATACCCGTGCTCGTGGGTTTCACCGACGTGGTAAACGTCTGGGACCTACATCACTTCGGGCTTTCCTCCCACAGTAAGCTGACACGCCGCGATATAACTGGAATACTGTTTAAAGCGGCGTTAAAACCAAACTCACTCACTCACTTGTCCCCGTTTGATCTCCACACAGTTCCTCATTTCTGGTCACATTTTCACAGAACGTCCATGGGATGAGACCGTCACCTAAGGGCAAGGTCCCCTGGATTGAATACAATGGACAACCGATGGGGGACTCTACGCTGTGTATCCAATTCCTCAACCAGAAGCTTGGGGTAGACCTGAACAAGCATCTGAGTCCCGCTGACAAAGGGGTAGCGCAGGCGATGCAGGTCATGACGGAGGAACATCTGTACTGGTACGTCAACGCGTTTTAGTAAATGGGTGAATGAATGTGGAGAGATTTACAACTCACGAACCAAATTCCATCCCTATCACTGCTAGGGACACATTGTAAGCATGTGGGGAGTGAAAGTGAGTGTAACACCACTTTGAACAGTACGCCAGTTATTTCACGGCGTCTCAACTTAATGTCGAGGGAGTGCTTTCTTTTGGCATCACGCATGATTTCTAAACACCTCAATCCTTATAAAACTGGTGTCATGTGCAGAAAGTGACTGCCATTCCATGTATTTCGGTCACGTATTACTTCAGATCTTCCAGTCTTCGGATAACGTTTGCTTCCTTTAGGACATCTATGATGTTTACAGAACACAGTGTCGACTCCCTGTACTTATCCCCTTTATGAGTGATCACTGGTGAAGTACTGTGGTCACTAATGGGTTGAAGGTGGGAAGCCTCTGGAGGATGACGAGTTGGTTGATCTGAAGGGTCATCGCACCGTTTACCTATAAATTAAGATGACATGCATCAACCAAGTCAGCGAGCCTGGCCCCCCATTCCCGTAATTCGCCTCTCACGACAAACATTGGTTGCTGAAGACTCATTCTAACCCGGATCTTCACGGGATGCATCTTTCAAAAAACGCCGGTCGACTGAAATAATGCCGATGCGTCGTTACATCCCTACTCACCCACACCTGACTACGTTTTGAATGTGTGTATTGCAAAGTAGTTCCAGATATAATAATGTCAATATGATTTGAAATGATTCCATTCCAGGTTGCTTGCTCTCATTCGCTGGATCTATAGCAGAGACGCATCGTTTATTTTGGAAACGTTTAAATTCACGAAGTTTATTTTGTGGATGATTCGACGAAATGTTAAAAAACAAACGTGGAATCAGGGACTGGGTCGCCACACGGAGGAGGAGATAGTCGAGATGATGAACAAGGATATCCAGTCTCTCTCCGACTTTATAGGTACGTCGTGTCTTCCAATAAATAGTTACTTGTCAATCTTGAAGCGTCTCTTTGAAAAAGTAACCGCGTACTTTGTCGTGGATAGATTCCTGGCTAGAATAGGTCCCCTATGCTTGTCGTAAGAGGCGTTCAAATGAATCTGGTGGTAAGTTCGGTGACTTGGTTGATAGTATGTCACCGTAACCCGACGGCGTGGATCATGCTCACACTATCAATCACTAGATTGTCTGGTCCAGATTGGATTATTCATAGACCGCCGTCTATAGGTGGAACTTTGCCGAGTTAAGCCTTAAAATAGAAACAAAACAAACTCTATGTCAGCTTGCGTTCCTTTGAAAACCTTAAGTGATACACTTTGGTAACACCCATGAGCACGGGTATGGTGCAGAGAAACCAAGCAAAATTATCTGAGCAAATCTTGGATTCGAACCCACGATCATAGCCTCCTGGCACTCCTAGGTGACGAAATTCTTGCAGCAAATTGCTTCGCCTTCGACGAGTTAATTCCGCATGCCTCCAGAATGGTAGGGATTCTCTTGGGTGAGATATTTTCATGTTTAGGATGTTTTTTACCCGGGTTAGAATAGGTCTGCAGAACCCATGCTTTCCGTAAAAGGCAACTGTGCTTGTTGTAAGAGGCGACTAACGGGATCGGATGGTCACGCTCACTGACTTGGTTGATGCATGTCATCGTATCACATTTGCGAATATGCTCCTGGTGTCAATCACTGGTTTGTCTGGTCCAGAATCGATTATTTACATATTGTAGTTATCAAGCTCGAATATTGCAGAGGGCGGCGTTAAAGAACAAACAAACAAAGGAATGTTTTGTTTATGCAATGATCTTGCCAATTACCCCTAACCGGATGGACAATTGATTTAGAAATCCCTTAAAAATATTTATTCAAATTTTTACTCTACGTCGACCACCTTTGTGAAAATGGTCAGTCCATCAACAGTTTGGGACAAAAATCTCTAAACAACAGCGGCCAGAAACATTGAGGACCTTTTATCATCGATGGTGCGTGGAAGTCATAAAGAGAATCCCCACCAGGTTAACATTTGTCCCTTTATTACATAATTTGCCGCGGTTTATACATGTTCTGGCCTTACAATATCACGTAGCTGAAGGTACCAGGACAATTATTCATTGATGCAACATTCTGTGCACTAGGGAGGAAGAGGTTCCTGATGGGGGATGAGCCCGGTGAAGCAGACTGCTCGGTGTTCGGGATGCTGTCGCAGACATACTGGCAGTTTAATGGATCTGGATACGAGAATCTCATAAAAGGTAACACACAGAGAACAGGTATACATTGGTATTAATATAAGTATGTGATCGAATGTATCCCTTAGGAAAGGGTGAGTGAGTTGTGTTTTACGCCGCTGTAAACATCATTCCAGTTATATCACGGCCTGCCTGTCCGCTTAACGTGAGAGGAAAGCCTGAGGGTAAGGTGGTGAGAAACAGGCTCCGGAACCAGGTGATGGGATCATGGCAAAATTCAGGAATGCAATTCAGCGATTTTCGGCTCCTTAGACGATGTTCAGAGAATGTTTACCTTTTGATATTGATTTAAATTTTGCTTTAAAACTTTGGTTGGTATTGTCTGTTCGAAGTTCACATCAAAAGAAACGTGTGATGGTCTTTTTGGAACAAAGTTTTGATAACCTCTTGTTATCTACTAGATAATTATCCCAACTTGGCAGCCTACTGTGAACGTATGAAGGACGCATTCTGGCCGGACTGGGACCAGTGCATCACACACGGCGGAACAAGGGAGGCAACCAAATAAAGGGAGATAACACAGTGACTGATCGTTCGTTTCCTAAAAATGAAACCATGTTGTGTGATCCATAATATGGAGTTACTGAAGTACGGCCATGTATTTACATTTACTTACACTCATAGTGAGACAATTTTCCCACACCCCAACTTTTCTTGTTTTTGTAAGAATCAATAAGAGGACGTTTGGTGGTGGACCCATTTCACTCTTTACCACTCATTATACGAGGGTATTGTTTGTTTGTTTGTTGTTTTAACGCCGCACTCAGCAATATTCCAGCTATACGACGGCGTTCTGTAAAATAATCGAGTTTGAACCAGACAATCCAGTGATTGACATCATGAGCATCGTTCCACGCAATTGGGATCGATGACTTGTATCAACCAAGTCAGGAAGCCTGACCATTCGATCCCGTAAGTCGCAATTTACGACAAGCATATTGGCCTTTTGCGGAAGGTTTGGGTTGTTGAAAACCTATTCTATCCCGGAATCTTCACGGGTAACGGGGATATTGTAATATAATATACTGTCATGTTGTCTGATTGTAGATAGGATGTGTGATGTTAACAATCACCGTGTGTGACCACGTGGACAATGGCCCAGTGAGCATGTTGAGTATTGGTGCTTGGGGATACCAATGGTAACAGTTTACTATTAGAGGAAAGAGAAGTGAATCTCAATATCATGTATATTTGAAATCTGCAGGGGTTTTAATCCTTTCAGTCTCTGATGTGATGTATTTTAATAATCATATTGTTATAGTTTGGTGTAATAAAATAATGAAAACAATATGATATAAATTATGTGGTGTTTGTTGTTATATTTTATATGTGTTTTTGTTTAAAGTGGGGTGTATATATATATATATATATATATATATATATATATATATATATATATATATGTATATTCTCGTCTTCAGCTTCAAATACAAAATTATTTTATTTACATTTTGTTTAGATATACGTGATTTGGAAGTTATGCGTTTCAAGCATTATTCCAGCCATTTTAATCATCCATGGGGGAATCGAACCCATGTCTCGAGATTATTGAATCTCTTCGCCACCAATAAGTATCATACAAACTAGATATCTTTCATGCAAAATTGTTTGGTATCGTTTCGCCGATTATGCGTGCGATATTTACGGTTTGGTATCGTTTCGCCGATTATGCGTGCGATATTAACGGTTTGCCGGGTTAAGGCTGGAGAACACGTGCTTTCTAAGGCGCCGGAATTCGCTGAGCATAGTTACGTCCCTTTTGCGTGCCAGGAACCTGTGATCGTGGGTTCGAATCCTGCTTCGTCCTGATTATGTTTCCAGGTTTGTCAGCACCGTGCTGGTTGGTTTCACCGAAGTCGTAAACGTCTCAGTTGACAATAGTGTTCAAAGCTGCGTTAAACCACTCACTCAACTACTATGTCACTAACACACGGTGTTCAGGTGTAGGCAATGGTCGAAAGTCTTTAAAACAATTATTTGTTTTTGTATAAATTTTCATTTCTGATTTTATTTAAATCAATTAAAGCCGATGACGTCATACCCCAGGCATGCTCTTTGTGGTGGGTGAGTGAGTATGGTTTTACGCCGCTTTTAGCAATATTCCAGCAATATCACGGTTGGGGGACACCAGAAACGGGCTTCACACATTGTACCCATGTCGGTAATCGAACCCGAGACTTTGGCGTGACGAGCGAACTAGACTACCCGACCGCCCCTCTTTGTAATAACGTAGAAGACTATTCTAGAGCATTAGAGCATGGGAAACAGAATCAGTGTGCGTGTCAAGTAGAAGGATGAGTAAAACGGAAGTCGACTCAGAAACCTCAGCATCTAGCCATGATTTAACCTCACCCTCATTCAGTTGACGGTTCATAGTTACATGTATGAAGTTTACAAATATTCTGCACTAATTCACATACAAATTAATTAAATTGTTTGTTTCGTAAAAGTAACTGGTCATGCTCTGTCTTTTCGCTTTCCTCTCTCAGACAAACATCCCAAACTTGCACCTACTTTGAACGTATGAATGAAACATTTTGGCCCGACTGGGACCGGTGCATCACACCCGGTGGAACAAGGGAGGCAACCAAGTAGTAATTACAGATTCACCTCAGTTCCAGGGGGGTTTATAGCTGTGGTTGTGTTGGCATAATACCTATTCAATTATAGCTCTACACAAAGTATATGAATCAGATGTGCCTGATAAAGGTTATCAATGAATAATTATTCCTAAGTGAGTGAGTGAGTGAGTTGGATTTTACGCTACTTTTAGCAATATTCCAGCAATATCACGGCGGGGGACACCAGAAATGGGCCTCACACATTGTACTCATGTCGGGAATCGACCCCGGGCTTCGGCGTGACGAGCGAACGCTTTAACCACTAGGCTACCCGACCGCCCAATTATTCCTAAGACTAGAAACGGAATTAATCTTCTTTTTAGTGATGCAGTACCGTTCGATATGTTAAGGACCCGTAAAGATCCGGGGTGTAAATGGTGACTATGTTTGTCCTAAGAGGCGACCAACAGGACCGGGGTGGTCAGGCTCGCTGACTTTGTTGACGCATATCATCGGATCCCATATGCGTGGATCGATGCTCATGATGTCAATCACTGGTCATATAGCTGGAATATTGCTTGGTGCGGCGTTAGACAACAAACAAACGTGGTTTCATGGGGTGTTCAACTGCGAAATTGTGTGATCTTCTACTGCTTTTTGTCTAATAACAATAACATCTGACTAAATACATCGCCAAGCCATCAATTCAGTTCATGTGTATAAGGACACAATGAAAATCCGCGCTTGAATAGCCCCAGCCGCTGGTGGTTGGGCATTATTTCCTAGGAACAACTTTTGCACGGGCAACCCAGTCAAGCATAACTTGCCCCCTTTTCAACGTATCGTAGGAGTGTCGGGTAGCTTGCTGGGAGTTATTCAGGTCGACATGTCAACAGCGCAGGTCACAGTTACTTTGACAGCAAGCAAACAGATCACTAGCAATGGAAACCATCGTGGATGCATTAAACGACATGGACGCATCACAGAAATTTAAAGTATTGTATGCTGTCGGAGGTGGTGTCGTAGCTGTCGTGTCGGTCGTTGCTATCACGAGGACACTGCTTTTCAAGTAAGTCGTTCCCAGTGAATACTAGTATTTATAATTCAAACGAGGTTAGCAGAAACAGCAAGCTTAAATGTTGTTGTTTTTAATTTTGGTGTCCTCAGAGAATATCCATAAAGATAAATCTGCCTTGTGAAAATTGTTCCGTTGCATATTCTGGGTTCGATCGTAGTGACACCAGTGGCTATTGCCAATTATGTCCCTTCTAAGCTTCTCCTATAGACCAATCAGATACTACCTCTGGTATCACTTGCGATTGCTTCAAACAAACTGGTGGCGCCCAGTCAGGACGATCTGATCGATAATCAAGATCTATATTGTGATAAGACGGATCTAACATCGCGGTGGGTGGGGGTGGTTGTGGAAATGGGATGGTTTCATAAAACACATGCTGGAGTCTGTTAGAGACTATATTTATTGTATGATTAAGGATACCAGTTTGCATTGGGTGTGTCAATCAATACCTCCAGGTTCAGATGCTGATATTTATGATATGCTCCTCTGACAAGTAATAGCTTGGACAGCTTTTCATTTCTTACCATTATGATCTGTATTTCTGATTACAACATCATGACAGAGGCATATACAGTAAACATTTCAGTGGGTATCAGTATAATGAATGTTCGAATCGTGCTAAGTTGTGGGCAGCACAGTGTTAAGCACACCGGTCCCTGAAACAGTAACCACGGATGCGTTCAGTGTGCATGTATATAAGTTGATGTCAACTTAAAATGAGACCTGACACTGTATCAGACAACCCCTAGCTATTCATTGATCTATTTTATAGAAAGACAAGGAAGGACTATCCCCGAGACACGGTGATCCTTCATCAGGTCGGTAGAGCTCCCTATGCCCCAAGCATGACGCCATTTGCTGTGAAGCTGGAGACCTACCTCCGGATGGCCAGGATACCCTACCAGGTAGATGAGTGTGTGTTGCTTCACGCCGCGGTCTTTTTACAGTATTAAAGCAATGTCATGGTTGCTGTAAATATTTAAATCTGATTCAAGAAAGCAAAGGGTTGACTCCATGAAAATCCTCCATGTCGCCTTTGCTCGATGACACTTTCAGCTTGATTGTAACCACCGATCCTTATGAGACGGCGACCGCCTCCGTGGTCTGGTGGTAGAGCGTCCACCCGTAGGCCGTGTCATACCAAAAGACGTTAAAAGATGGTACTTATTGTTACTCTGTCTGGCGCTCGGCATAAAGGGGCTAAAACAAAGTCTGGTCGGCTCGGAGTCAGTATACTGTGTCTGAGTGGGGTACTCATGTTAAACTGCGGTATAGTATCTCAGTGAGCAAGCACTATAAATCGGCATTAGTCTAGGCTAGTACAAGCAGCCACACACACGTGCATGCACGTCGCAAAATAAGTGCAATAATCTTGGACGCGACGTTAAACCCTATTTCACCCCACCTCACCTCTTTGTAGGTCTCAAAGCTACTCTATCGACATACACCATGTACTTGTCACTCATACTGCTGTGTTGAGAATGAGTGAGCGACGTGCACTATTATAACGACACACAGTAAGCCATGCCATACGATGAGCATGGCAGGTTCCGGCTGGAAATACACCGAGTTGTTTCTCCGCTGTAAATGCAAATAGCTGATAACTGTACTCAGTGCTATATCATTTCACTCTATGACGTCCTTCACAGAACGCTCATGGGATGGAGCCTTCATCAAAGGGCAAATTCCCCTGGATGGAGTACAATGGGCAGGAGGTAGCGGACACAACACTGTATCAACTTCCTCAACCAGAAGCTTGGGGTGGACCTCAACAGGGATCTGAGTCCTGCTGACAGAGGGGTAGCTCAGGCGATGAAGGTCATGGCGGAGGAACATCTGTATTGGTGAGAAAAGTCCGAATGTTAATATTTCAGCAGCACTGACAGTTCAAATAACCTAGTCGGAATGCTTTGTCGGTCCTTGCCGCTGTCTATATAAACTTTGACGTTTTCGAAGTATGATCTTTTTTCCGCGAAAACGTTGCATTGACTGGTCGGCTGGGAGTCAGTATACTGTGACTTAGTTAGATATTCATGTTAGATTGCGACATGGTATCTCAGTGGGCTAACACTATTAAATCGGCATTACAAGCATACAAGTACAAGCAACCACACACACGAGCATGCATGTTGCTTTGTACGTGTAATAATGTTGAAAGCGGCGTTAAGATATCTTCAGATACCGAGGACCAGTGAATGCCATAAAGTCATACATGCCATCATGTATTCAAGAAGTTGGAAGAACATGAATACATTAGTTGATATCCATAAAGATGCGTCATGCATTAATAAACGCCATGTTTCGTTCAGGCCTATTGGTTCAGGAAGACAGGAGCCAAGTTCACTCAAATCTTTGATTGAATTAACACTTTCGTTTCAGGTTTCTTGTCCTCTTCCGATGGAGATTTGACAACGACAAATCATTTTTATCAAGTGCATTTAATTTCAAGTTCGGCAAATGTACCATGTGGATGTATCGACAACATCTTAACAAGCAAACATGGACTCAAGGCTTGGGGCGACACACAGAAGGGGAGATAACTGAGATGTTTAAGAAGGATCTACAATCCATGTCTGACTTCATGGGTATGCATAAGCTGTGCCCATACATTGTATTCATTTATAGATATAGATGAAATGTGCGCATTCGTGTGTTCCAGTGGGTGTATGACAAAGCGTTGCCAATCAAGGCGTGAAAATTAATAACCTGGATGATAGGGCGAGATGTGCACAGCGACCCCTGTAGGAAGGGAGTAGGCCGCCACAGTCAGGGGGAGGTAACTGCCTTCGTGAACAGACTCTGTTACCTCCTTCTGATTCTGAGATATCCAGGCTTTATCTGCGTGTATTGGTACGTCTTAGATGCTTCGCTTACAGATCAAACGCCGAGTGTACTTTATCCTGCAATAAAGTACACTTTTTGAGTTACGTCATAATGTGCTGACGTCACAACGCTGTTCAAATTACCTCCCCCGTAAGCTAACGTATCCTTGTTAACATCGTTCTTTCATAACTTCGAAGCAAGATTATTATTTATCAGTTATTGATCGGTGAAATAAGGTCTTTTCACTTGTTGAATGTTATTACCTGGGAAGAAATCTGGCAAGATGGTGTCAACCATCACTCATACCGCGGGGTTTTCCCAAACATATTTAAACCACTATGTATGTGCAGTAGTAGTGTTTTATCATGTTCAAAACGTACTTTGTCTCTCATTGTGAGGGTAGAGCCAATCAGGAGGAAAGGCGCGTCAGTTGTCCCTGTTCGAGGATTTTCAAGTTATAAGGTCACTACATATGACAGGTTCATTTTTAACCCTTTTAAAAAACGCTCTACCCCCATTTTTTGTGTGAAAGAGTATTGTGTGGCTATTATAGTTAAAGTTGGTTGGTTTGTTGTTTGACGCCGCACTCAGCAATATTCCAGCTATATGACGGCGGTTATTATTATTATTATAGTTAAGCACGAGGACGCTTTGACGTTTATCACTAAATGAAATGGTCCTGTGTTTCTAACTTATACGCTCCGTATAAAAGGATAGAACCATATCTACGAGGCAAATCCAAACTGGCGACTGACACATGGATTCCTAAAAGTCCCACAATGTATGAATTATAGTCATGGCTTCCACGAGCGTTCTTTCCATTTACGCTGACATAATATAACGGAAATACTGCTGTCATAGCTCGGCCTCTTAATAATTATTATTTCTTCCGCAAAAGTGAAACTTGAGTTAAAAAATTATATATTGGAGTGGACTGAATGGAGGGTCGGGCTTGTCACGAGGTCTCGTCTCAATTTACAAAGGAAATCATATAAATATATATTAACATGCACACTAGCTTGGTGTACATTGCGAGACATACGGTATGGACATTTCAGGATAATTTAAATTTCTCTCTGTCGCAGAAATTAATATATGTGTACAGCAAAACTGACATGTAATGTTAAACTGTGGACGACCCATGTCCATGTAATGCTAAATGTGATACAGCATATTATAGAGGCAGTCTTTGTCAAGTTGCTGGAATAATCGTAAGTTTAATGTTTTCTGACTCTCAGCTTTTAAGCTTCATTAGCATTCAAGCTGAAATGAAAACAATGATACTATTCTACTTTCAAACGAGTCTGCTTTCGTCAGTTTCCATTCTTTCATTCAGGACGTACTACTGCATGCATCAAAATACTTATTCGTTCGTTTTTGTCACTCATACTGCAAGGATTTTATGCTAATGTCCTATCTTGTACGCTCTCTGTTGTTTGATGTGTTCATATTCATCAGTCCACACATGCGGTTGTTCCAGGGACGAAGAAGTTCCTGATGGGAGACGAGCCCTGTGAGGCTGACTGCGCTGTGTTCGGTCAGCTGTCACAGTTCTACTGGCAGTTCCTGGGCACTGGGCATGAGGACATCATTAAAGGTAACGTCGATTATGGGATTATGAATCTTTTTCAGCACCGTAACTGACCTTCATCGAGCTGACATGACGTGACACAGCCGAAATAACTGTTGAATTTACACGTAGTTCTTAGCTCCATCATGTGCGTGACTCTAAAACGTGTCTACCAGGTGTTTGGTACAAACATGAACACATACGTATGGTGTGGCAATGCCTATATTATGATAAACAAAGGGTAAAGTAACAATGGAAATGGAAAATTTGCGCATATAATGTCCTTACTCGGTACACTGGCCTATTGTCGAAACATGCTACGGTACCTCGATGTTTTAATTTGTATTTGCGTCAGACCGCTTCCGTGGTCTAGTGGTAGTGGTAGCGTCCGCCCGGAGAGCGGGAGGTTCGGGGTTCGATACCCGGCCGCGTCATACCAAAAGACGTATAAAGATGTTACTTGTTGTTACCCTGTCTAGCGCTCGGCATTAAGGGGCTGAAACAATGTATGTCTGAGTGTCATGTTAGATATTTGCGGCATGGTATCTCAGTGAACTAGCACTATAAATCGGCATCAGTCCGGACTAGTACAAGCAAGCACACACACACACACACACACACACACACACACACACACACACACACACACACACACACACACACACACACACACACACACACACACACACACACACACACACACACACACACACACACACACACACACACGTGCATGCACGTCGCTATATAAGTGCAATAATCTTGGACGCGACGTTAAACCCAATTTCACCTTGTATTTGGGTCAAACAAAGTCACATGACCGATAAATATTTTTGAAAAATAGATTAATCGCACACAAGAGAAAAACATGGCAAATCATCATTCAGGGTGTTACCTCGCCTCTCAAAGCATGATGTGAAAGCCCAAAATGACACGTCACAAGTCAGTATCGTGTTTGCCTCCGTGTGCTTCTATGCAGTCAAAGTGCAGAATGTCAGTCCAGGGCCAGGCAAGGGCCTCATGAAATCCACCTCCACCTCCGCCATATTGAGGAAAGATCTGCTGACGGGGCGGGCCATGGCAACACATTCAGAGGAAGATTTTTACAAATGCAGTCCAAATACCTGCGTGAGCAGTGGTACGAGCAAACGTTCAATACAATGAAGACGTCATTCAATTTCTACAGGGAAAATGTCTAGTGACCGGACGGGTTATTTATTTTCAATGGCGATGAACGCCTCTTGTGAGACTGGGTCTGGTGTTATGTTGAAACGTCATGACAAATCCATAGATAATTTTTTCTGGGTAACGTGCGCATGTCGAAATTCATCGCGACATCGGTGAACATGTGAACGCCTGTCACGTAGGTGTTTAAAAATATCAGAGAGATCGCTGCGTGGCAGTAAAAACACGACGTCAAAGGCGTCTGTTCCAGCCTCCCCGCAGGTAATTTTTCGAAAAGCGTGGCATCTTAATGTTTTATTAAATCTCTCAAATAGAATTATAGTTTTTTTCTGGCATGCAATATATTTGAATAGCATTATTATGCACAAGGCTTGCCGTTGCTATAAAATGTTGGCTTTAACACTCCCAACTTCAACAATTTTAATACAAGACGCGCGCATACTGCTAATAATAATATCATGTCCGACCACCGTGTATGTGTATAGCAGAAAGGTTAATCCATCAAACCACAAATGATTTGAACCCAATTCATATAGTGTTAATGCAATGTGCAGTAAAACAGTAGTGTCACACTAACTTTTGTTGCTGAGTATATTTATTCCTTTCCAGACGAGAAGTATTTCGTTCATTTGAAATTATATTTATAAAATATTGAACTTTATTTTCAATTTCGGTTCTCAAATTATTTTCCTGCGTTTGTGAAGTTCAAAGGAGAAGAACAGAAATAATTTGCATCTGATATGATGCTGTCATTGTTTATTGTTTACTGTTGATGGACATGCTCTTTCTCTTTGTTTTCCCCTCCTAGACAAATACTCTAACCTGGCAGCCTACTGTGAACGTATGAAGGACTCATTCTGGCCCGACTGGCACCAGTGCATCACACACGGAGGGACAAGGGAGGCAACCAAGTAGTAACTGCAGATTCCCTAATGTCGCAAAAGGTATTACGAAGTGTTGGCATAATATATAACATACAAATGTAGTCTCTGAAACGAAGGGGGCCGAACATTTTTTTCTCACCTTAATGTTTCTGTCAGCGATATAAATTCATACTTTCTTTCAAAATGAAATACGAGAAATGTCCTGTGTTTCATGTAATTCACCATTCTGTTAAACTAGAATAATATCTTGTTGTAAAACACAACCTACTGGCTGAATGTGTTGCAAGTCACATTTATCTTAACCAGATAAAGGTATATGTTTCCGGAGTGACTCTTTAGGGGATATAATATAATGAATACCATTGTGTACCTGTTGTCGGTGTATTACAGTTTATGAGATTATTGTTTCTTACACACCTGTGGGTGAGAAACCCATTCAAGATAACTGGTATCAAACATATGTGAGTGAGTGAGTATGGTTTTACGCTGCTTTTAGCAATATTCCAGCAATATCACAGCGGGGGACACCAGAAATGGACTTCAAACATTGTACAAAACATATGCAGGCCTGTAATTGGCTACTCCATAGTGATGACCTGAGGTCAGATGATGACGGACTACGTTTTTGACTGTAAGTTGCTCATGCTTCAGTCGAATGTTCACCTACGCCTGTGTTGACCTACAGGAGGCCCGTGAAGACACCGGGCTAGAATAGGTCTTCAGCAACCCATGCTTGCCGTAAAAGGCGACTATGCTTGTCGTAAAAGGCGACTAACAGGATCGGGTGGTCAGGCTCGCTGACTTGGTTGATGCATGTCATCGATCCCAGTTGCGTGGATCGATGTTCATGATGTAAATCACTGGACTGTCTGGTCCAGACTCGATTATTTACAGACCGCCGTCATATGGCTGGAATATTGCTGAGTGCGGCGTAAAACAACAAACCAACCCAAACCAAACCAAAACCTACAGGACCATGTCATAATATGGGTAATAACATAGAAACAAAGTCGTCCTCCTCTGCGAGTTTGTTCGTTATTATTATCAGTTACATTGTCTGTTGTTATGTCAACGTTATCATTTTTTAGAGTGTAAACCCCCTGGATGCCACGGCGACACATATGTCCATCCTCTTCAACCCTCACTTCGAAGTCGAATAAAATTCAAAATACATCACGCAAACTAATACACTTCACAGTTTTGAAATCCCTCTTCTGGTTATCATTTGCTGTCATTTTAGGCAAAGCAAAATTACTGAAAGTGACTTCTGAAATTCAGGTAGATTGTAAATCTAGCCAAATCACAATTCACAGCGTTATTTACTGTGTGTTTAGAAATCAAAATATTGGATATTAACCTCGAATAATTAAAACAGAAAAAAGCATATTAGGGACCAGTGGTATGATAATTCTGAAACGTCGCTTATGTTTTGGAAAATACGCATACACGAACGCCGAAGTGTACGTTCCGCCATATTGGATTGTGTTTACAAAATGGCGGTTATGAGACGCCTATTCGATCAGGTGTATTTCAAACTCAGATGCTATACATGCATCCCTGAATACCTCATATATTTAAGATACAAATGACAATCTGTCACCAATGCAAATTATCTAGATGAAATCATGCGAAATAAATGAGGTGTGGAAACGAACACTGTGCTCGGAAAACTTTACTTGCTGAAATGTAAACAAAGCATGTCATACGGAAGTAAACATTGTTGTTCATATGTGGTAATTTCTTTGAGGTGTAAACTTTTAACTCGGCATCCAGCGTGTTCTTTGTTTTTGTATTGTTTGAAATATCATCATCGCCTTGATAATCCACAGACATGGCGGAAACCTTTCTGTGTAGGGTCACATTATTAATGATTAGTAAGCAATACATGGTCAAGTCAGCGAGTCTGACCACCCGATCCCGTTTGTCGCCTCTTACGACAAGCATAGTCACCTCTTACGACAAGCATGGGTTGTTGCAGACATAAACAAACAAACAGAAGACCCTCTCACCACTATCTACACACTATTTCCAAACATCCTCGATTCAACTCTGACACAAACTTGTTTTACTTCAAGACTGTCTTACTGTCTTCATCAAACTTAACTGCTTGACAAAAGAAAGTACACACTTGAAAGTTGGATTTCATCAAACAATTACAAACGTTATCAAAACGTTACCATAGCTAGGAACCCGTGAAGATCCGGGATAGAATAGGTCTTCAGCAACCCATGCTTGCCGTAAAAGGCGACTATGCTTGTCGTAAAAGGCGACTAACGGGATCGGGTGGTCAGGCTCACTGACTTGGTTGATGCATGTCATCGATCCCAGTTGCGTTGATCGATGTTCATGATGTAAATCACTGGATTGTCTGGTCCAGACTCGATTATTTACAGACCGCCGTCATATAGCTGGAATATTGCTGAGTGCGGCGTTAAACAACAAGCAAACAAACAAAACCATAGCTAGGGATTCAAATTGTCTTTTCATTAATAGCCACCATCAAACATGGGGGTATAGCTTCTTGCCCTTGTGTGTATACAATGCCCTTATCAAACTGCATGAGCGTATTATCCTGGCCCCCTAATGTAAATGAAGGGAGTGGTTATTAAGAGCAGCATGGAACCGAAACATTTCCCTTGTCCTGAAACTCTTTTGTTGAAGTTGCCATGCTTGATTTGGACAGTAAATCACGAGGAAGTTCACAACAGACCAAGAGGAAATTAATTACAGCATTTACATTTCAACCCGCCACGGAATAATAAGCTGTTGAATGTGATTGACTGTATTATGGAAGATATTTGACTCTCTGTGATTTCAACAAAGGAATCATGTTATCAATATTCTATGTTGTCGGCTATATCCTCTTAATGATTCAGAACTGTGTAAAACACGTGACAGGAAAGTGTTAACTGCAATCTAATCTACAATTAGGAAATTACCATATTCCCAATGGTTAGATATGCAGTTTCCTCACATTATATTTCATAACGATGCACAACGTTGAATAGAGCAGGTCACGATTTAGCTATGGAGCACGTTCGGGTATGTGAGATTAGTTGAACGTCACTTTGAACACTACTTCAGTTACATTACGGCATGTCAGCTTTAACTGAAAAGTAAAGGAAAGTAAAGCAGGTCGTAGATGTGTAGAACTTTGGTTAAAAACCTTTCAGCTCGGGCATGGTTTTGAAAAAGCTAGAAAGATAATCAGGGCAAATCTGGACTCGTTCACAGGGATCATCATGTCTGCACATTACGAAAAACGTATAGCAAAAGTATTGATAGAATCTATATTATATTTTTTCATTGCAAAATATCAATGCAAACTATGTTACCGTATGAAATGTTTTGTTGGTAAGATATAGAGGTTATCACGCGAGTGTGTTTGGGGATGGTAAATATCTTGCATTAGGAATAAACATTGTATTTAGCAAGCCTTGGCGAGCTAAATACATAGTGTTCATTTCTACTGCAGGATATTTACCATCCCCAAACACACAAGCCTGATAACCTCTTTATCATATAATGTCATTCTTTAATTCTGTGCTTCAAAATCGCTTTCCCTCTCTCACAAACATTACCGAAACATTGCAAGTTTTCCAGGAATGCGCGCACAAATATTTATTACGTCACAGGGAAGTGATGCGTCAGTCGGACAGTGACAGTAGTCAATATAGTTCCAACTGAAATCTGTTTCTTATACAGTGGTGAAGCAACATACATGTATACGCAAAACAACAATTGTTTTTAATTGCCTTTCGCGGCAATCCATCGGGCTGTCCGCCAGAGTAACTACCCTGGTCTATGAGACGTTACGGACACGTTCAGACGTTGTTGACAGTCGGTCTGTCCTGTCATAACGTTAAGAAGTGTAGTCAGATGTACACACTGTGACAAAATGAAACAAGGTAACAATTCAAACATATTTCCGCCAAATCCAGCTTTTTTAATTTGTGGTAATTGAAGGTTTCAAGCCGCAGAGATCTACAAGCACAGATCTAGGTATTGATCCCGCTTGGCTAGGCCTAGTGCCCTCGCAAAACTGCTTCGCAATTTACATCTCCAAAGTTGCCAAAACTTATAAAATGCCTTAGCTACGTCACAATTAGACACTGATTTTCAGTATATTAGACTGCTCTTTTGATAATGATCGCGATTTTCCCTGTAGTTTATCCAGATTACCGATGATTAATTTTGACTCAATCGCCGAATGACGAGGGCGACGCCATGTTTGTTTATAAACAGTGAAAGTAGTCCCCATTTGACCATCTCAATCCGCATATGACCCCAACGGATATCGTTTTTATCCTTGGCTTTTTCCTGCCGAGAAACCTACCCATTGTATGATAATTGCTTTTATACGGCTCATGTAATGTGGAGTGAGTGAGAGTGATTAGTGGGTACGTACTGTGTACATAACTGTGGAATGCTGACAGGGACTTTCACGCATTCTCGCATGTTAGCATGTTAAGCTTGTTTCAAAAGATCGAGGTCGAGAGGCCCGTTACATTATGCCATACATATCCTTTTTCGTCTTAATGATTCAGGACTGTGTATACACGGGACAGGAAAGTGGTAACTGCAACTGGGTGCGTGCGTGCGTGCGTGCGTGCGTGCGTGCGTGCGTGCGTGCGTGCGTGCGTCTCTCGCATCCTGTATCCTTAATTACACAATTCCATACAGTGTCCAATCAAGAAGGTCCATTACCTGCCACATCACGTCAAGTTACTTATTAGTCCAGACATAATTAAGCCAGTTTGATATACACACTGCAACATAAACTCACATCTCCATCCTCCCTTGTCAACTACAACACAGCCATGCATCTAGAGTTTAAAAGACACTGACTGACACTTGGTTATCGTTTCATCACGCCGCTTCCTACTCATACAAAATAACACGTGCAAAAGAAGCTTTGATCTTTGGTAATCTCATCAATAGGATATTGCAAACTTTCCAGACGCATTTGATACTATTGTTATGTATTTTCATGGTGAAAAACGCCACAACATTTTCCGCAAATCTGAGTACAAATCATGTTTTTTCGGGAACAGTCTATTTTTATTCAAGGCAATCTAGTCCTAACCCTATGGCGTTTATGTGAATGAAACTGTTTGCAAACCTAACAATTACCTACATGCTTTTTCCAGAAACATCTGGTGCTGTTCCTACTGCTGGTACACCCTGTTTTAGAGCCTGCTATGGCATCCTCCCGAGCTGCAAGTCGAGATGCAAGTCGAAATGCAGGTGGGAATGCAAGTCGAGATGCAAGTCGAGATGCAAGTCGAAATGAGAGTCGAGATGCAAGTCGAGACGTAAGTAGTGATGCCAGTCGAGACGCAAGCAGTGATGCCAGTCGAGATGCCAGTCGAGATGGAAGTAGTGATGCAAGTCGAGATGCCAGTCGAGATGCAAGTCAAGATGCAAGCAACGATGCAAGTCGAGATGCAAATAGTGATGCCAGTCGAGATGCAAGTCGAGATCCCAGTCGAGATGCCAGTCGAGATGGAAGTCACGTTGCAAGTCATGATGCAAGTCGAGATGCAAGTCGAGATGGAAGTCGAGATGGAAGTCGAGATGGAAGTCATGATGCAAGTATTAATGCCAGTCGAAATGCAAGTATTGATGCAAGTCAAGATGCAAGTCAAGATGCAAGTCGAGATGCAAGTCAAGATGCAAGTCGAGATACAAGTCGAGATGCAAATAGTGATGCCAGTCGAGATGCAAGTCGAGATGCCAGTCGAGATCCCAGTCGAGATGCAAGTCGAAATGCAAGTCGAGATGGAAGTCATGATGCAAGTCGAGATGAAAGTCGAGATGCAAGTCGAGATGCCAGTCGAGATGCAAGTAGTGATGCAAGGCTAGATACATGTCAAGATGCGAGTCAAGATCAGTGTGAACCGTGTCGCTGTTCTTTTTGTGGAGAGAAGGTTAAAGCTGATTGTTCGTATCGGAAACTAGACAAGGTCCCATCCAATCTGTTACCCAACATAACTGAGCTCAATCTTTTAGGAAACAACATCCATCGTTTGGAAAATGGATCTCTCAGTTATCCAAATCTTACCATATGTAACATATCTTCCAATGGTCTGAAAGATATTGAACTTGGTGTGTTTCATCAACTGAAAAACCTTGAGATTTTACACCTTGATAATAATGATTTATCTATAACAGAGGTCTTTCGTCACAGACTGTTTAAACATCAGACAAAACTTAAGAAGCTCTATATTAACCAAAATGTTAAATCTCGCCCTTACGATGCTAGCGTAAACCCAACATTAGAATGTAGACACCAAAAAAGTGTATTCGAATATAGAACAAATTCGAGTTCCATACTGAAAGACATTCATCACAATGGGAATACATTTGGACACAATTCTTACCAAGGTTGTGCTTTCAAAGATTTAGTATCATTACACGAATTATACATTGATGGAACGGAAACACTACATTTTGGCAAGGAATTCAAGAATCTGAAGCACCTCCGGTCACTATCACTAGGGGGGCCGTTTAGGACATGTTACACGCGTTGCTTGAGGAATGACACATTTGAGAATGTGCCTCACTTACAGAATCTGGATCTGTCTTACTGTCTGTTGGTTGACATTGAACTATCATCTTTTGAAGTGCTAAAGAATCTAAGTAACCTCGAAATGTCACATAACAGATATCTGGGAATTCCAAAAATGGGACAAGCTATGTATGGATTGCAGAACTCGTCTCTGAGAGTGCTAATCGTAAACGGATTAGGACGTATAATGGGGCTTAGTACAAAGTTGAGAGCTAAAGATATCCAGTATCTAAAGAATACGAAATTAGAGGTATTGTACATTCAAGGAAACAGAATAGAAATAATTGATAGAAATGTAATGATTAACCTTCCAACATCTCTCAGAGGAATATCTATCAAAGGTAATCACCTTTCGTTTGGTCTTTACATGATGGTATTGTCCACGCTGACAAATTTGCAGTGGCTGGATGCCTCCCATCAAAGTACATCGTATGTTTCCTTCTTTGATACCGCAAGCCTTCATTCACGTAACCTTCTGCAACTGAAAAGACACATACCTTTCAGTGGCAATATTACACTTTATGTTCCTCCAAATGTTACATTTCTCGATGTAAGTCATTCTAAAATGGCTTTTGAAGTTATTCGTTTCGAAATCGGCCCAAACAAACTTATTGAAGCAGATTTTTCATTTAATTATTTTACCAGTTGGACGGGTCCCATCATAGGGCTAACACACCTGGAAAAATTATATGCTTCTAACAATTTCTGTGAATACCTAGCAGATGGAGTGTTAACATACTTTCCATCTTTAAAACATCTTGACATTGGTTCCAATTACCTTGGCTATACCCTTACGAATGACACATTTGGTGAAATACCTTTTCTAGAATATCTCGACTTATCAAATAATAAGATAAGTTCACTTCCAAAGCTAATCTTCAAGAACACAAATCTGCTTAAAATCCTAAATCTAAGTTCCAATTATTTGATGTCGTGGAATATAGAAATAAACAATTTTCATATGACAGTTATAAATTTATCAAGAAACACCTTTGACGAAGTTCCATCTCTTCTGCGCCATCAAGTCAGTTGTATGGTAAGTAGGGATTTTCAGCTGTACTTTAATGACAACCCTCTCAAGTGCAATTGCTTAACTTTGACTTCATTGAAATGGATGAGAGATCATGCTTCGAAATTACATAATCTTGATGACTTCAGCTGCCGTGATGACAGCAACAGACGACTATTCTTGAAAGACATCCATCAAATCATCTTCAAGCTTGACAAAAAGTGTTCCTCCTACCTAGGTATTTCTATCGGGGTTCTCTGTCTTGTGATGCTAGTTCTCTGTTTGTGCATAACAGGTATCGTGTACAGGTTCAGATGGAAACTGAGGTATCTTTACTATCTCATACGGATGAAACACAGGGGTTACCTTGCTGCTCGGGAGGAAGAAGAGGGTGGGCCACAGTTTGAGTTTGATGCCTTCATTTCCTATGCTGACGAGGACCGTGGGTTTGTTGTTGAGGACATGAGGCAGATATTGGAGGGACAGCATGGCCTTCGGCTCTGTATCCATCATCGAGACTTTCTCGTGGGGGAAGCTATTGCTGCCAACATTCTAAACGCTGTCAAATCCAGCAGGAGGACGGTGATCGTCCTGTCGAGGAATTTCTTGAGGAGCTACTGGTGTAAGTACGAAGTGGAGATGGCCAAGATGGAGAGCATCTACACTGGACGAAACACACTGCTGGTGGTAGTCCTAGAGAACATCCCTGTGAAGGACCTGACCCCTGATATTGTGGAGCTGATGCGTCAAGACTCCTACGTAGAGTACACGGATGATCGGGAAGGTCAGGAGGTGTTTTGGCAAAATCTTGAACGTGCTGTACGTATTGTGTAGTTGCTTGTTTAGATGTAGGAGCATGATCTATGTGAGTGTAGATGTTTCATAATTGATCTGGCTTTTTAACATTTCTAATTTCTTACATTTTACTTCAATGAAACCCAGAGATATATACTAAACAACAAAAGTTCCTGTAACATGGAATAAGATTTAATGCAAAGTTATATTTTATACCAAATCTGAAACAATTTCGGTTTGCAGCAGATACATGACTCCTGTAAGTTTTCAGATGGTGTAGTTTGCCATACTTACTTCAGAAAATCCATGATTTCATAAAAAAACATGAACAAGCAAAAATGTCAATTTACTAATCAATAGCGCGTGTGTCCACCTCTGGTTGCGATGCAAGCAACACATCGTCGTCTCATGGAATGGACCAGGCGTCGCAAGTCCTGTGGGATATCTGTCCATATCTGCTGGAGCATGTTTCGAAGTTCATGGAGTGTCTGTGCAACACGTGGTTGACGTAGAAGGCGCCGATCCATCTCATCCCATATGTGCTCGATTACTGAGAGATCAGGGGAGCCAGGCCAAGGGATGACATTCACGTTGTTTTGTTGAAGGGAATCCTGAACAAGTCGAGCAATATGAGGCCGGGCGTTGTCATGTTGAAAGGTAATGCCTGGGCCATGACGACGCAAACACGGTAGAATAACAGGGCCGATGATCTCGTCGCGGTAGCGCTGTCCATTGAGATTTCCCTCTACCACTATCAAACGGGTCCTCTGTCTTCCTGTAATCCCACCCCATACCATAACGCTGCCGCCCTCGAACCGATCTTCTTCCATGACACAATGATTGATGTAACGTTCACCTCGACGTCGGTACACTCGAATCCGTCCATCGCTATGGCTGAGGTGAAAACGAGACTCGTCAGTGAATAGAACTTGTCCCCACTGCATGGCCTTTCAGCGTAGACGCTGTCTGCACCACTGTAGACGTGCGCATGCTTGACGGTGGTTTCCTGTCAAAATGGGACGTCTGGCGGGTCTTCTGGCGACAATCCCTGCACATCAGAGGCGACGACGTACGGTTTGTGAAGATAATCGTCGAAGGCCAGGGATGCTTCTTGCAGTCACTGTTGTTGGCTGGAATCGATTTCGTAGGTGTGTTGTTCGAATCCAGTTGTCTTGTCGATTATTGGTTACGCGTGGCCTGCCATTCTGGGGATGGTCTCTGACTGCATTCGTCTGTTGCCAACGTTGCAATAAACACCAAATGGTGTTTCTGTGGACGTTAAGTTGTCTTGCAGCATCACGTTGACTCGACCCTGCTTCAAGCATGACAATGGCTCACAGACGCTCATTTTCGGACAGGCGTGGCATTACGTAATCGTTAATAATAGCGTATTTTTTTTGTTTTTCTGAGCGGTTGTTGTCAGCACGATGCTAAACAATGCATATTGAATCCCGTTAACGCACATGTTTTTATACCCATTCTTGGGTAGTGACATGCATGGGGCTTGCATAAAAGTTACTTGTTTGAAAAATACACTAAAATATTGGTGTTATCATTCATTTCCTTGTGTATTTTTGTTGAGGTTGCTGTTTGTTGTGCTTGGATTGATCATCCCTTCTTCACAATAACCTGATATATCTGCATGTCTAATGATAGGTTTATTTTTCCGTATGTTACCACTTTGTTTCTCCTCTGTAACACTATGCTGGGCACACAACAAGAAGTTGTCACAGAGGTATTGATCATGACTTACATAGCTTTCGGTTGATGTACTGGAATGCAGTTAAACCGTACATCTTGATGATTCTAGGACAGGTGTGTCTCGCGTATGGAGTTTCAGTCGTTTAAAAGTTGAAACATTTTAGTCTCTCAGTTCCAATACTCGCCTAACGTCCACCATCATGACGGTATCAGTGTCTCGAAGATGGAGTTTAATGAGTGAGTGAGTTTGGTTTAACGCCGCTTTTAACAGTATTCCAGTTATATCGCGGCGTGTCAGCTTAATGTGGGAGGAAAGCCCGAAGTGATGCAGGTCTCAGACGTTTACCACTTCGGTGAAACCAACGAGCACGGGTATGGTGCTGACAAACCTAGAAACATAATCGGGGCGAACCGGGATTCGAACCCACAATCATAGGTTTCTGGCGTGTCCAAGGGACGCAACTCAGCACAACGAATCGCGGCGCCTTAGACGACTGGGCCACCCGTGCCCCCGCAGATGGAGTTTAAGACACTTAGGATTTCATTTCAGTCACAGAAGGTTCTTTAGTATGTTTTCCATTGCGTGATACCGTGTTATTTCCTATGTAGAATTATGCTCGGCAATTCAGATGAGGGTGTGGCAGAAGTTTTGACTTTACATTGTTGTTCTAATGAAGTATGACCAAACGGTCAAAGCTAACCTTGATCACCGTAGGAGAGAGGTGTGTTTTGCAGAAGTTCTGACAGTACTAAAACTCCGTTTATACATGTACTAGTTTTCCACCTGAGATATGGCTAGAACTTATGGATAGCATTCCAATCACTCTCTTCAATAGCAATAGAATGTAAAGTATGTGTCCGTGCTGTCGGGGATTTAGTTGCTGTCTTATGGGGCCGTCACACCATGACGTTCTGGTCAGCGTTCTATGACGTTTGAGGAAACGTTGGTAGTCTCCCATGGTCGCTGGGATAGCGCCAGAAGAGCGTTGTGTGAACGCTAGGGAACGTCGGTGATCGCCGGGAATCGGCGGAGAACGCTGGTCCGGAAAAAAAGTTTTGAACATGCACAAAAGTTCTCACTGAGACCAGCGTTCTTCAACGTTTAGTTTTAAACGCTGAAGAACGTTTAAGAACGTTCGTGGAACGTTTTACTAACACACGCTTAGACACACGCTAGTCATGCGTTAGGCACACGTAAATCACACGCCAGATGTGTCATCCTCATTCTAGAACGCTCAAAAATTGAACGATTGAAATGTTCAGAGAACGTTGACCAGAACGTCATGGTGTGACGACCCCTTTACATGGAACTAAAATGAACAAAGTTCAATCATGTATATATCACTAGACTCGTACAAAACATTGCGGTTAGAGCTGGGACCTTTAACAGTCTGATGTACCACCTCATCTTAATCGATATGTTCAAGCATTAATATATGCACATTTTCTCGCATATATGGCTTTCCATTTTTGCATGTATCCACTTTACATGTACATATGAGCATGAGTTTAATTGTTACTGTATTTAAGAATTGTAAATAAACATGTTTGCTTCCATTTGCAGTAAAGAACTTATTTTTTCACAAGAGTGATTGAGTGATGCTTCACGCTGCGGTCGCCAACTACATGCATACTTGTAACATAATGGTCTGTAATAAATCGAATCTGGACCAGGCAATTTAGTGGTAAGATAGCCATGGGATAGGGGAGTCAAGTCATATCCCAACAAGATAATATGATTATGTGACACTTAATTAGAGCCCTTTTGACCTATGCATTTCTAAGCGTAAAAAAAACCTTCCATGTTCTTTTCATTCTCTTGAAAAACAAACCTGCAAATTGACATATATTAATTAGGAGATAAACATGCTGTGTTTTCAATGTAGAGCTAGGTTTCCTGTAGAATTACCCACGTTAAATTGAATTTTGATTTTTTTTTTGTTAGTTGATATATTGAGTGACACGGCATGGGTTTTGAGTGTTTTGAGTGGGTTGTCGATCTGAATTACGGATTCACCGACAACAGACTGTAAACAAAATATGGCCTTGTTTCTGCTCAAGCAGTGTGTTTGCACTGTAATACTTCACTCGAACATATGACAGGCATTGACAGCATGTAAGCACGGCATCTTGGTAAGCTAACATGACGTTGGGCCCCCTAAAGAAAACTAAGCAAGCTTTGCAAGGCTTTCGTTCTGCGCGGCACGTCACCATCTTGGCGTCATATCGCTCATTGTGACGCAAAGTGAACGTAACACTTTGACGGAACTATTGCCATACAAGAGTTACTTTCCCTGAAATTGTCTCCCTTTATCGTATGTGTCTAGCCCTCAGACAAACTGTTGACGTCCTTTTCACGTTAGTTCCACGTTGACAAGACAAAATGATGACAAATGGTCATGTATGAAGTTAATATCGCTTCATGCCGTTTGTTATTCTCTTGTAAATGTTTCGTTATAAACTGTAAATTTCTCTTTTAACTCGTCAATCGGAATGAATTTCTACCGCATAACTGTACGTTCTGTAAATGCTTAGTGAGAATGACCTATATCCGTTCTCCCATGTTGTTATTCTTTCAGAGCACTATTAATTTGCTTTATGCTGATTGGCTAGTTTACGCCAATGGCTACATTGTTTTCGCTGTTTGTGTAGTGGCCCATAGCTTCATAACAAACAACTGAAGATGAATTACTCATTATTTTACCCTCGCGGGGCAACTCACTATTCCTGTGAATAATCGAGTCGACAGGATGAAACCAGTGATATATTGTAAGCAATGATCAACGCCGTTGGGGTTCGATTAGGCATAATCAACCAATAATCAACCTGTTTGATTTATCAGCCTCAAAGACAAACACATGTTTCTGTGATTCTAATTGTATTCTAATAAGAATTCCCCACGGGTTGCAACAAATGAGTTTATAAAAAAAAATGGAGTTCATTTGAATCAAAATAGAAAACTGTACTTGGTATGGACACATAAATGGTTTAGTTTTACATGCAAGTCTGTATGTATCTCTATACGCTTGATAGGTGGTCATGTGATCAGGTACAAATGTGATGTTTAATATAATATAATTTCATATAGATAGCCCATTACTACAAAACATGCAGCAATATTCCAGCTGTATTACAGCGGCCTATACGAGATTGGGCCAGACAAATAGCTTTCGACGCCATGAACAGCGAACCTTCCAATCGAGATACGCTGATAATGCAGATCCCACACGGTAGCCACCCAATCCTCAGTTGTAGGCTTTTCAACCTATTAAACAGGAGGTGCTAAGACCTCGTCCAGTCCAGGGATATTCACCTGCTTGTCATGATTACACTACAAAAAGACAAGAAAGTGAGGCATTTGAAACGAGACACAGTTACCACATTATCAAATGTCCTCAGGTTCTTGCTGAATCCGTAGCCATGCGACAAAATTACACGATGCAACTGTGATGTCTAGATATGACTTCACATAGCAGTTTGTCTCTGTGTATACTCGCTAACAGACGCGGCAATGGCCATGGGTGACGTTGAAAGTAGTAGCACAAGATGGCGTCCCCGACCTATCCATCGTGTGGGATGCTTCGGATAGAAAAATAGTGAGTGAGTTGAGTTTAATTATTACGACGCTTTTAACACTC